GACCTTAGTTATCGGACCGTGACAAAATGCAGACTTAATGTGAATATGGACCTAAATAAAAGTTATCGAGTTCGGTTAGATCTTATTTCTCGTATCCAGGGAGAGAGGGAACCCTAAGGAGAAAGGAATGGGGGCAATGGCTATCTCCAAAGTGATCACCATCTTGATTTACGATGGTAAGCGCCTAAATAGTCATGATCATTATCATCTCTTGAGACCGGCCACTAGAAAAAAGGAAAAGAGAAAAAGGAAAAAAAAAAAAAAAAATCATAATTATTTTTAAAAAAATTGTCCATGCCAGTGCTATTTATGCCACATAGGACGAATGGTGTTGACTGGACCATAATGTCAGTGATTTCTGATCAAAATTGATCGAAAGGACTATATTGACAAATTGTCAAATGATTTAGGACTAATTGGTATAATTGAAAAGTTTATGACTGAATTGGGTGCCGTACAATAGATTTAAGACTTTTTTGGTAATTTTCTCCACATTTGGCGGTCTAGGAATATATTTGTGTGTCGATTAGACACACAACATAAGTTCATCGAAAGTAAATAATTTCATATTCTAAAAAAAAATTATTGGTTCATTTAATTTATTAGATCGAGAGTTTTAAATTGTCTAGTAGTTATCTTGTTTTTCTTTTTAATCGTTTATCTATTAGTTAGTTTGACAGACGTTAGCATTCAAAAGTTATTTAAGCGGGCTTATTTAAGCATTCAGTAATCACTTAAGAGGAATTTGCCACATCAAGTTATTAAGCAAATTTAGTTGGCGAAGTATGTTTAGCATTTAACAGTAAAATGAATAAGAAAAGTCTTAGGACCCGATTTGTTCACTTATGTTATAGATTTAGTAGATGATCCAAAGAGTTATAATGATAATAAGTCTAGACCGGATGCACATATGTGGAAAATGGCAATGGATGTTGAGGTAAAGTCTATTAAGCAAAGTAATACAGGGTCATTAGCTAATCTTCCTCCTAACACCAGAACTATAGGTTCTAAATGGGTGTTGACGAAAAAAATTAAAAATCGGACGATACCATAGATAAATTAGAAATTCCAAATAAGGATCCGATGTAGATGCTTTTTCTCAAAAAGGGCTTATAGTGAATTCTGTCTCAAATAAATTACTGAAGTGATTATTTAATTTCAAATAATGATATGAAGGGCTATTTGGTTTCAAACAAGGATTTGAACTCACTGATCAGTGAGCACATGCTTATTCCGGTAGCATGAGTAGAGGCAGTTTTGTCAGAGACATTTCTTTTTTTGTTTCTTTTTCTTTTCGTATTTTTTCACTATTGATCTTCTTCATGCTTGAAGTGAAGTTGTAGGTCTCAAGCTCACCTCCAGATCTGGCCATCTTCCATGGCCACTAGCATCGCGTTCAAGCATCGCCTTGGTTGGCTCTTCAAATCTGGTCGTCCACGGCGGCTGGCATCGAATGAGCTCTCATCTCTCTATAACTTGTTCCCGAAGCCATTTTCCGATAAAATCACCTCTGATTTCTCTCTCAATACTTTGATTTCGCCCCCAAAAAACCTCCAAAGAGCCATGGGACAACTTTGGCAAGAAGACCCTCAACTGTTAGTCTGGCAATCGCAAGCAGCATGGCTCTGACAAGAATAAGAAGAAGTTTGAGTGGTGACATCGCCCTTGCACGTTGGTCAGAAGCAACAGAAATAGAAAGGGTCGTAGGCCGCTGCAAGGTACGATCTTCACGCCGTTGACCAAGTGCAAGCTCCGGCTACTGAAGCGGGAGCGGATCAAGGACTACCTACTCATGGAGGAGTTCGTGACAAACAAAGATCAACTCAAGCCATGGTGACAAGTGATGACGGCTCGTTCGGCGCCGGTGGCCATGAATGGCCAGATCTAAAGAGCTGGCCAAGAAGATGCTTAAACGCTGAGCGACGGGCATGGAAGATGGCGAGATTTGAAGATACACGTGGGTGAAGGAGGAAGAAGAGAAAAAAGTGAGAAGATAAAAAAAGAAATGTCTTTGGACGATTTTGTGCTTGGTGTCGGAATAAACATGTGCTTGCTAGCCGGTGAAGATTTGACCGACCGGCAAATTTAGGCCTTTATTTGAGACTAAATGGCCAATTTAAATCTTTACTTAAGATAACATTCACTCCGGACTCTCTTTTGAGAAAACTCATCTACTTAGGGAACTTATTTGAAATTTTTTCTAAATAAATGTAAGGCAAGATTAGTGGCTAAAAGGTATATAAAAAAGGACTTGATCACTTTGATGCTTATTCTCCGGTAACAAGGCTTACAACAATTAGATTAATGATGGTTTTAGCTTCTATACATAATTTGGTAATTCGTCAAATGGACGTTAAAATTTCCTTTCTAAATGGCGACTTAGATGAAGAAACTTATATCTCAACAGGAAGGCTATATAGAAATTGGTCAAGAAGATAAAGTTCGCAAATTGAATTACTCTTTGTAAATAGAATTCTCGCATGTGTCATTTCCTTTCTCTATATATCCAGTGGCATCTTCTAGGAAAAACAGAAACTAAGAGATCACCATTAATAATACTCTATCCTTTGTTCCTTCTTCTCCTCTTCATCTCTTTCATGCTTTCTCTGTATTGGCTACCACTTCTAAGCTTAAATCGTGTTCATTTTTGTTTGCTACATAGACTAAGTGAGGAAGATTACGGTCAGGGCATTGTATTAGGGGACAACATATCCATTGGAGCCAACTATATTGAATCGCGAATCCTATCTAGAAAATCACTATCTTTAAGACGGTATTATTGATACACCTAGATCTAAATTTTCATCTAATATTTTTTAATTCCTATAACACATATTTGATTAATCTATTTGGGCCTGATTGGCATCATAGGTAGGCTTATCTATATTTAGTGGGCTTTCTCATAATAAAAATACCAAACCTGATACCTCTTATAATGTTGTTTGCTCAAAAGAATATGATTGAAAAAATTACGACATTTTAAATTGTGTGACGTTGAATTGTTAGTTTTACCGTGAAAGTACAATGAATTGCATACGATATTTCCTTCTTCTTTTCTTATCACTTTGTGTTGATTCCTTCCTTAGAAACACAAAAAAAGGCTTTCTTAGGTGGCAGCTAGGGTCGTCGCTGTCGCTAACGACACAAATTTGACCATACCAATTGAACAGTGAAGATTCCATTACATGAACTTTACCCATGACATCAATGAACCTTTTATTTTTAGGACAAAAAGAAGGAACGGACAAACTGCTGAGACAAGAAAACTGAATTTTAAAAAGAGTTCTTATTCATAACGCGTCATGGAAATTTCTTTGAAGCTTCCTGGAGCTACGGATTGAAAAGAATAATCCCTTTATCTTAAAAATAGCTTCAACCTTCAAAAAAGTGGGTGAGGAATAATAAAAAGCAAGTCACTTGGCAAGGGACCCACTCATCTTTTGAAAATTCTTAGGTGCACGCTTCTGTTTCACACCACTTTCGCACTTGATTACAATAATATATCATAACGTCATAGAACAAGATGTTCTTGTACTTAATTACTTTGACGTGTCATAATGTCGTACATTACTACGCTATTATGATGTTATATTTGTTAATTTTTCACTGGTTAGCGAGAGAGAGAAAGAGATACGATAGAAGTTTATAATGAATGTGGTATAGCATTTCTCTAATCAAGTAGTTGGAATTATGTAAGGAAGACATTGAAAAATTTCACCAATTAAAAAGGTTTCTTCACAGTAATGGTCCACTATTTGTTAAGCTGTGATACATGTACAAAGATATCTCTCTATACACACACATATATCATGCAACTTGATTGTAAAGAAATCGAATTGAATAGACAAATCAGCATAACATTTTACAAAATGACCAGATGCTAAAAAGAGTGTGTAAGATACTCCTCTTAACGTTTTCCTCCTAAAAATTGCCACCATCTCTTTCTCTAGACATTGTTGAAAAAAAATCGACAGCGGCTGCTTCAACTTAATTTGCGTCTGCTAAACCACAGAAAAGGGCAAAAGAAATTAAGCCGGTGTCACCCTTCAGCAGCCGAGAAATTAGACAGAAACTTCATTTACGGTAATCCCAATTGAATGAGCCGTAAAAATGGGCACTTTTCTTTAGATTATTCTAACGCCAATTTGCCAACATGAACATATGTAACACAGTTACATAGTTCTCTAACCACTTATGAGTATTGTACCGTTGGTGTGTTTTCTTGTATATTTTCTATTAATAGAAAAAGCAAGTCGTGTCAAGAAGCACTTGTGTAGTTTCCATGCACCCTCCACATAATGCTGCGAAAATTGCCCTATAATTTTTTTAAATAGCAGAAAGTGCCGTGCATTGGTAACAAAACGTGGCAGGCAGAGAATGGTGGAGACCACAATAATATAATTGGTCAAAGTCTAGATATTGTAGGTGATGATCTTGGCTTAAAATCTAAGCAAAAGAAGAATGTCCCCATGAAATGAACAAAAGTTCGACAAAAAAAATAAAAAAAGTAAAAATGTATTATTGAATAAATATTTGATCATGGAGAATTCGTTGGCCGACACTGAAAGAATAAAATTTATGTAAAACATAAAAAATTATTAATTTTTTTGGTCAAAAAAATATTAATTTAAGGACAAAGACAAAAGTGTCTTGGGCAAGAGGTAAATGATGACTAGATAATCTTTAGGCTTGACGTGACACGAAGATATCTAGTTTGAGGAACTCAAATTGTTTTGAGAGAAATTTAGCTTGTGAGTTACTTTTTTGGAGAAATCTCTTTTAGAAAAAACAAATCAGATTATAAATCAGATTATAGATTGAGAATAATAAACTTTCCTTATTTGAATATTAAGTGTCATACAGACGTTTTTTTTTAACAAATTCTAATTCTATCCTACGATTTATATGTTTTTGTCATCGACTCATCTACCTTAGCACCAAGAGCATGTGATTATAGCTAGTTAGCTTTCTTTTCCACTTTTATTTGTTAATAGAAAAAGCAGGTCAAGTCAAGCCTTGCTGTATCTGACATTTCAATAAAAGCACCAAAGCATTGCACGTCAGTATTGCTCATTAAGTTCCACGCATCTTCCGCGCAGTGCTACAGAAAGCACGCCAGCAATAATTGACTTTTCCGTGCCGCATGCATCGCAGCGGTTCAATTGGCATGATGAGTCCTGGATCATTGGATGGCCAGAACCCAGCTTTCTTCAAGCACGCAGAATAAAGAGGGTTGCGTGTGGGTTATCCAATGTCGAAGGCTGAGAATCGGCGGAGATCACAGCAGCGTGTGGATCGTGTCGTTTGAGCACTCCGTAGGTAATCGGTGACTCCTTGCTCTTCTCCTCTTCTCTCTTCCTTCTTTTGATCGCTCCATATTTTTTGATGAGTTGTATGAGAACTTTTGTTTTTTTCTTTAATGTAGCTCTCAATTGAGTTCTGAGAGACATTTCTGCAATTCTTAGATCTGGGAATCCACATTCCTCTTCTTTTGAGGCTTCGCTCCATCAATCTCGAGATGGAAAGAAAAGAATTCACTCATTCAGAAGATCCGATATACGAAGCGTCTTCCTCATCGACCTCTCCACATGTAGGTGATTATGAAGGCGGCGAAATCAAAAAGCCGAAAGGAAATGACTACGAAGTGTTTTTGAGCTTTAGAGGGAAAGACACTCGTAAAGGTATCACCGATTATCTCTATACTAGCCTTGTTGATGCAGGAATTCGAGTGTTCAGAGATGACAATGAGCTCCGTGTTGGTGAGGAAATTGGTCCAGAGCTTCTCTGCAGTATTACACAGTCTAAGATCTCGATCCCGATTATATCTGAGGATTACGCTTCCAGCAAATGGTGCCTTTGCGAGCTTGTTCAGATGTTGAAGTGTACGAAAAGCAGAGGGCAAGTAGTGTTGCCCATATTTTACAAAGTGGAACCCTCACAGGTGCGACATTTGACAGAAAAATTTAGAGATGCTATCAATGCACATAAAGAGAATTTGGACGAAATGGTTGTGAAGGAATGGGAAGAAGCGCTCAAAGAAGTCAGTTCCTTGAAAGGATGGGAATCGGAGAAAATTAAGAATGGGTACGTTATCCTCCACTAAAACATTGTTTGGTTTCTCCTAACTAGATTTTACTTAAAAAAGAAAATAAATATTGCCATCCTATACTGAAATTCGGTGTTATTTGACAGGCATGAAGGAGAATTAGTTAAAATTGTTGTCAGAGAAGTCATAGGCGAGTTGAAAAGACCTTTTCAACTAATTGTTCCCAAAGAGTTGGTCGGAATTGATAATCGTGTAGAAGAAATTATGAGCTTCATAGATGCTAAATTTAATGATACAAGGATTATTGGAATTTATGGAATGGGCGGTATCGGTAAGACAACTCTTGCAAGGGTCTTGTACAACAATCTCTCCAGTCGTTTCGAACATCATAGCTTCGTGGCAAATATTCGAGAAACATCTCTACGCAAGGGTATTGAACGGCTACAAAAGCAGCTCATTCGCGATGTACTAAGAAGTCCAGAAAATGTGTCTAATGTCGATGAGGGAATCGGTATCATCAAATCTCGATTTACAAGTAAGAAAGTCCTAGTTCTTCTTGATGATATGGATGATAAGGCTCACTTGAATGCTTTGGCTGGAGATAGTAGTTGGTTTAAATCTGGAAGTATAGTCATCATAACCACTAGAAACAAGAGTATTCTTGATGAGGCTAGGGCAGCCTACATGTACGAACTTGAGAAGTTGCCTTTGGATCCATCATTGATTTTATTTAATAGACATGCATTTCGAAAGGATTCTCCTCACAGTGATTATGAGGTTATCTCTCGTGATATCGTGTCTACTACTGGGGGACTTCCCTTAGCTCTTGAAGTTATAGGTTCTTTCTTGCGTGAAAAGAAAAATAAAACATGGAAAGATACATTAAAGAAATTAAAGAAAGTACCTGACCAGAAAGTGCAAGATACATTGATGATAAGTTACGAATCATTAGATTATGAGACGAAACAGATATTTTTGGATATAGCATGTTTTTGCATTGGATCATCTAAACAAAGTGCAACTTATATGTGGGATGCCTGCGAATTTTTCCCGGAGAATGGTATTGAAGTATTGAGCCTTATGTCGCTAATTAAAATTGATGCAAACGGCTATCTAATGATGCATGATCAACTGAGAGATCTTGGAAGGGAAATTGTTTGTCTAGAACATCCAAAGGAGCCTCAAAAGCGCAGCAGATTATGGATTTATGAGGAAGCCTCGGATGTGCTTCACAACAACAAGGTAAGAGCTATCTCTACTTGTCTTGGTTAGTCAACGTGAGTCCTTCTCTTTCTTGTTTGAGATAAGATTATTGTCGGTCTCCAAAAATTTTCACTTTTACCAGCAAAAGAGCTCTTTCAGTTAGAAACCGTTTTTGCCTAATTCTAGGACATAACTGAGGAGAAATTTCTTGATCATTGACGATTTATTTATATCTTTACCCGGTAGTACATGATGAGGACACTCTCCTTTTGGTAACTTCAACGCAACAACAAAACTACAAAGAAAAACCATAATGTTTGACAAAGCACTTTCAGAGAAAACCTGACATTTATAAATTGTTGGGGGCACATGCTTTTTGCACATATCTGTTTGATGCATGTGTTTGATGTTTGGATTCTTCTTTTGATTTCTTGTGAGGTTTTTTCGCTCTTTTTTCTTTTATTGAGTATTGACTTCTTTTGAGTTGTTTGCTATGATTAATGAGACCTCCATCCATTTGTGATGATTAGCTATCCTTGTTCTGTATTTTCCAAACTGGGTTAAGTACAGATTGAGTCTCCTAAGTATCGCCACTTGTGGCGATTTAGTTCCCTATCCCTTCTTTTATGCTCAATGTAGTCTTTTATCTTTCACAATTTGTACAATCGAGTTTTTTATCGTCAACCGCTAGTTGATACCGTCAATTTACTGATGTGGCTTTCATATTTATCTATGATATATGCGCAACATGGTAATTAACCCTCTAAACATTTATTGTTTTCATTCTATAGACTTTTCATTGTAGTACATAATTTTTTCTATGAATTTGTTATTTTTTTTTGTGATGATGGATAATTTTTATATTAACGCCCTAATAACATTTATTGTCAAAATTTGACTACCACGTTATTATAGATATATCTACAATGGTCAACTCTTAGTGAGCATTTTATTTAGTACATATTTAGTATTTTTATATCATTTACGTGTTAAATATGAGCTATTATGATTTATAACTTTTTACTGATTTATTTTACATCATTTACTTATGAAAATATTTTCTCATAGTGAATATTCAAACAACTTTTCAATCGTAACAGTCATCACTTATTGCACATTTCGTTACAGTCACTATATGATTTTAATATTATTTGTTTGTCAAAAATGAACCGTTGCACATAATAAATGATAAATCCCTCAATTGTTTCCATTCCTATAAAATATATGTGTAACTAGAACTAATATATGTGTACAACTAAGTGACACATGTTATGTGGTAAAATCTGTGAATTAAAATAAGACATTTGAAGGAAAAAGTTGAGATTTTACAATAAGTGGGATTGACAAATGCATAAGTATTCTACTTAGATCTTTTAACAATCGAAATACTTTTAACTTCTCTTGCGCATTACAGTTTCAAGACCTTGATCTTTCCTATTCTTCTCAGATTCGATGAAAGTAAAAAGCCTACACCATGATAGTATGATATCAAATTGAAATTAGTCCTTCTTTTTATATACAATCGGTCTCATTTCATCAACTAAAACTTATGGTCCATAATGTTTCGTAATTGTAGGGCACTAGTAAGATTGAGGCCCTTTGTCTTCATTATGGCTGGTTTCGTGTGACTGAGGACAAAAAAAGCTACCGAGGTGAACAATTTAATGAACTCACCAATTTGAGGTTCCTTCGAGTGAATGGTCCAAATTTCACCGGAGATTTTCAAAACTTGCTTCCTCAATTAAGATGGCTTCAGTGGCACAACTGTTCCTCATATTTCGAAGTGGCCAACTTTCATCCGAAAAAATTAGTCGTGCTCGATCTATCATTTAGCAGCATTACAGAGGACTGGGGAGGATGGGATCCACTCAAGGTAAGAAATTGAGAAGATATATCTGTTGTGAATAATAACGTGTTACTGAAGGTGCAATTGCACCCAATTCTCCTTTCTTTCTTTTATAAAGGTTTAATATCGTTCCTCGGATTTAGGATTTTCAGGTAAATATAAGAGGAATTTATAGCTATCTAAATACTCAGAATCTTCTGCCCCTTAATATGTTTAATTGATAAAACTCAACAACCCGTCATGCTTAACCTTAGACAATACTAAAAAGAAAAAAAAATTACTATATTAATTAACATCTATTGAAAATTTTAATTACTTAATTGTGCCTATTTTGTATTTCGTTAATCTAGCTGGTTTATGGCTTCTAAGATAATTTCTCCCCGTGCAAAGGCATGTCTTTTGAGCGATTCTTGTTATATCTCTATATCAATCTTCTTTCTTGGAGAAACAGAAACTCCCACGCAGTGACTTGTGTTGTACATTCATACTGAAATTCTAAATTCATTTTAATCTTAGAGTTTTGATATAATTTATGAATTGCTCCGACTTGTTGCACGAAATATTTAATCATTATAATTGTTGATTATGGAAGTCGTCACTGTATAACACAAATATAAATTATTAATGTTATGAGAGTGATAAAGTTATCCTTCCAGTGGCATTAATTTTTTATGGAATACAACATTCCTTATATCTTGTACATATAACATTAAAATACTGCTTTTCATAATTAAACTACATGTTTCTCTTTAATTTCATACGATTGAAGTGTCATTTTCTTTTTGATAATAAAATTTGCTTATGTCTAATCAATGGCATCGCCATCGCTCTTAAAAAATGAATATATTTTCTCTTTGAAATTTTATCCGAAAATAAACACAGTTAGTAGTTGTATGTACCTAACATTCTTTTTGCAATGGATATGCTTAAAAAAATCAATATGGTGGTGTAGCCTAATACTATTAAAGAACATTTAAAATCAAACAAAACAACAGTGAAAGAGTAGTGGAGCATAGGTATGAGTAGTGGAGCATAGGTATTTTTCAGGAATCTTATAGATTCTTATAAAAAAAAAAGCAAGGAATAGTGGAAAATCACACATTGTAGCTGTCCAATTTCACTGAGGTTTTCCTTTGTTTCTTTCAGATGGCAACCGAGCTGAAAGTTCTCGACCTCTCGTATTGTGGACATTTGAGAAGAACTCCCGACTTGTCTGCTTTCAAAAGCTTGGAGATTTTGATTCTTCAAAACTGTGGGAGTCTGGAAGCAATTCATCCTTCTATCTGGTATATCAAGACTCTCGTCTCCTTGAATGTCAATTATTGTCGGAAACTGAAGGAGGTATCAGCAAGAGTAGGGAGAATGAAAGAATCGAGGGAGCTTCTCATAAATGACATCGCTATAAAAAAGAATCCTATTTTGAGATGTTGTCTGATGAAGCCAAAGACTTTAGATGACCTAAGTTGTTATAAATTTGCTCAACTTCCAGAATCTATGGGCTCCCTTGTGTCGTTAACTCAGCTGAACTTACAAAAGACAGGGATTGAAGAATTGCCTGAATCCATTGGTTCTATGGAGGCGCTGGAGACTCTTGATGCCTCTCGGTGTGAATCATTAGCTCGCATACCTAGCTCCATAGGCAATCTAGCATCTCTGTCTCGCCTTGACCTAAGGAGATGTCGATTGTTGAGAGAGATCCCCGACTCGATTGGAAAGTTGGCATCATTGACCGAGCTGGGATTAGGAGGGACATCGATTACAAAATTACCTGAAAGCATTGGGAATCTGCAAAATTTGAGGATCTTGGACATTTGGGGGATTCCCGTGACGGAATTGCCTAGTGCTATTGGAATGCTGGCGAAACTCGAAAAGTTGGATGCAGGATGGTGCCAAAATCTAAAAGGACTGCCTAATAATATAGGCGAACTGGTTTCGCTAAACGAGCTTTATTTAGTTGGATCGGGCATTTTGGACTTGCCAGAAAGCATTTCTAAGCTCTCTTCTCTCCAACATCTCAACGTTCGATTTTGCAAAAACCTTCGAGGAATACTGGAACCGCCCTCCAGCTTAACAGATCTGCACATCGATTTTCCAAGTCCATCGTCACCAAATCTTTCCAAACTAACCCTTCTCGAGAAACTCACTCTTTTCGATTGCCGTCCACTTGAATGTCTCCCCGAGCTTCCCGTCCGACTATCCAAGGTTTGGCTTCCACGTGTTAATAGGGAGGTTAATTTGTCCAGCGAGGCGCGCTTATACGAATTGATCCGCGACAAGTCCTTTGGGCTAAGAAAAGCCACCAGACGCTTGGAGACAGGGTTTTGGACACGCTACGACATTGAATAGGCAAATTCTCCGGAGGTGACGAGCCCAAGTGTGTATCTGACTGAGCTTGAAGATCAGCTCCCATGGCTCTCCGCACGCTGCTGGCCGGAGAAAACCCTAGCCTCCGCCTCCGCCTCCGCCTCTGGCCTCGGCTCCAATTGGCGGCGTCGCCACGAGCTTCCGCGGCCTCCAGACCTTCTTCCCCCTCTCCCCGATCTCCCCTGCGACTACGGCGCTCTCCAGCCCGCAATCAGCGGCGAGATCATGCAGCTGCACCGCCAGAAGAAGCGTCACCACCGCCAGGCCTCCAACAAAGCGCTCGAGCAGCTCCGCGATGCCATGGGCGAGGGCGACGGTCCGGCCGTCGTTAATAAGTTGCAGAGCGCCTATCAAGTTCAATGGCGGAGGTTCGATTCGTTTCTGTTTTGTCCTCTTGTTTCTTTTGTTCCTTCTGTCTGGGATTTTGGTTTTTGTTGTTTGCTTTCTGAAGTGAGGAAGTGCGGGTGAAATTTGTCGGATCGATAATTGATCGAGCATTCTCTTGTCTACCGCGGACTCGGCAAGTGTTCGGATTGTTCTTTAACTGTTGCCTGCCGTTGCATAGAGACAGGACCTTAATGAATTGCCAGAGTCAAATTTTCGGAGGAGGTGCTTGACTTCTCATTTGGGGTCAATCCTTAGTGATTTAATGTGTTCCCTTGAGAAATGATGAGGACTAGGCAGAGCTGTTAAGGTTTTTGGTCACGGTTGCTGAACACAATTTAGCATATAGTCTTATTCGACAGCGAAACAGATGAACAAAGACAAACTCTCTCGACTTTGTTCCATTTAAGGTTAGTGGACTGAAGGAAGGCGTTATTTGTGATGA